AACCTAGGTGCTTCTACCCTTGGTATACCCTTTTCCTTTTAAAAACCCATTTGCACTTAACCACCCTATGGCCTTTAGATTTGTTAACTAAAATCCATGTCTGATTTTTTATTAGAGAATCATACTCTTCTTGCATGGCCAGTTTCCACTGACTAGAATCTTTACTATTCATGGCTTCCTTAACAGTTCTAGGTTCATCATCAATCTTTTCAACAACTGGAAGACAAAGGCTACCATATCAGCATGTGAGTACCTCCTAGGTAGTTTAATTTCCCTTCTTTCTCCATCTCTAGCTAGTTGATAATTTTGTAAATCATTCCATCCCCCATCATTATCATCTAAGCTAGGTTCATCCACCTGCGTTTGAGAAACTGAAACAGGATCTGAAGCAGGATTGTTCAGGTTTGGAACTTCTCCACCTAGAAAATTAAACACCTCTGTCCTATCTACATTGTCACTTTCTTTCTGACTCAATCCACCCAGCTCATCCTCATTAAACCTCACATCTCTGCTAATAATGCACATTTTCCCTCCAATCTCAACATTTGTAACCTTAATGCCACAGATACCCTAAGAAAATGCATCTAATAGCCCTTGGTTGTAATTCAGTTATTTTCTCATGACAAACACAGTGCAGCCCAAAACCCTAAGGTTACGATAATTTGCAGGATGCCCAGACCATTTCTCCATGGGTGTTTGAAAACTAATAGCTGAGGAAGGTATTCTGTTTATTAGATAACAGCTGTGTGGGCAGCCTCTGCCCAAAACCTGGTGGGTTACTTAGAATAGGATAATAGGCTTCTAACCTTTTCTAGAATGGTCATATTCATCCTTTCTGCTAAACCATTCTACTGGGGTGTGGTGTCTTACGGTTCTATGCCTTAGAATTCCACTTTCCCTACAACAGACTATCAAACTCTTCATTGATAATTCTAACCCATTATCGGTTCTAAGTTTCCTAATTTTCTTCCCAGATTGATTTTCTATCAGGACCTTCCAATCTTTGAATTTCCTAAAGGCCTCCCCTTAGTTTTCAAGAAATAGATCCAGACCCTCCTAGAGTAATCATCTGTGATGCTAATGAAATCCTATACCTCCCAAAGATGGATATTTAGTTGGCTCCCACACATCTGAATGGATATAATCTAAAATAGCCTTAGAACAATGGTTTCCCACACTAACCAATTCTATTCACTTTCCATAAATGCAGTGATCACAGAAATCCAGCTTCCCTACTTTACTCCTCATATAACCTTTTGCTTACTCAGCTCAACTAATCTTTTTTCATTAACATGCCAAACCTCCTATGCCATAAAGTTGTCCTATTGGACTTTTGAGATAAAGATACAGCTCTGTTCTAGTGATGGTTGAACCATTTAGAATATACAGCCCATTCCTCATCTCACCCTTCATTAAAACTAAGGATCCTTTAGTACTTTAAGGACTCCACCTTGAGCCTTATACTATAGCCAATTGAGTCTAGGCTTCTTAGAGAAACTAAATTTCTTTTTAGTTTTGGTAATATCTAACATCTGTGAGCCATTTTGAACTTCCATCATGCAAATTCAGCCTTACATCTCCTATTCCTAAGACTCTACAAACTGCATTATTGCCTATCAACACTTTTCAAACTCTAGTTTCTTAAAGTTTGACAGAAAACTCCTATTTGGAGTCTGTGAAAGAACAGCCAGAATCAAGTACCCATTCAGCATCAGTTTCATTTTCAGAAGCTACTAACACATCAGAACTCTCATAACCATCGAAACTATATCTACACTCCCACTAGCATCATTTTCCCCTGATTTTTTCTTCCTATCAGGACACTCCTTTTGAAATGACCTTCCTTATGACAGTGGAAACATTTTCTAATGAATTTGGACTTCGACTTTGATCTACCCCTGAAACTCCCTTTCTTTTCAGATCTTCCTCTCACATATAACCCCTCACCATCAAGTTTACCTTCCTTTTTAAATTAAGCATCCTTAGTAGTAATTGACACCACTACTTCATCTAGTTTAAGGTTTTGTCTGCCATACTTAAGGGGGTCCACAAATTTGAAAATATTTTGGAAGAGAGTTAATAAGAATCACTGCTTGATATTCATCCTCAACCTTAAGACTAAGCCCTTCTAGATCCTGTACTAGTTTCATAAAGTCATTCATATTTTCTCATAATATTTTGTTTTCATCCATTTTAAAACTGAATATTTCGTTTTAAAACTAACCTATTAGGAAAGACTTTGACAGTATATAGAGTCTAATTTTTTCCCAAATTTCGGCTGTGTGGTCATTTCTTAACTTCTCTTAAGACCTTATCCCCCAAACCTAGGATAAGGTACGTAGGCTTTATTTAACAAGTCTTTCTCCTCCTTCTCAGATAGGGAGTCTGGTAAACTATCCTCACCCTCTAAAGTATCAGACAATCCATCCTTAAATAAGATAGCCCTTATCTTCATCTTCCATAATCCGTAATCATTATCCCCTGTGAATTTTTCCACCTCAAACCTAGACATTTCTAGATTCCTAACCTTCACAGACGCCTAGAGTACAAAAGCCCCAATTTACCCGAGACTAGTAAAAACCCTAAAAAATTGCATTTGTGAAGAAAACATCTAAGCCTAGATTACTTCAGATTCGAAAAGGATCTCCAACCTAGAATAAACCCTAGGTGCTAGAATGAAAACCTAGCTCTGATACCACTTGTTGCAACTAGAGACCATAAACGAAAATCCAAAGCAGTACATAATCCAAAAACACAGATAATCATAAGCATATAAACAGATAATAAGCTAAATTGAAAGGCGCACAGATTTATAGTGGTTCGGTAATCACACAGATTACCTACATCCACTCTTTAGGGCAATAAGAAGAATTTACTATGAGAATAGGAACCTTACAGAGATTTACGCTTACCCTTTACACAGAGCAAAAACCCAGAGAAAACCCCTCTGTAAAACCCAGATCTCCTCACCTCTCATACACCAAACACAATAACCAAACATTAGTGACTGATTTATACACGTGAAAGCAAAAAGGAAAATCCAGCTAAGACCTACCACCACCATTTGATTCCATCAACGCTCTTCAATTTCTAGCACATCCAGAGATTCGTAACAAGTTTTCTCTCTCTATAACCAAGAGAGAAGCTCGAGAAAACAGAATGAACAAAACCTAATTTGCATTAGGTTTATTGAAGAATGGATTTGACAGAATTACCCTTTTAGTCTTTAACTAATAACTTTGACCACCCAAGTTATAATTTGACTTCCACGTGGGCATAGGTCAATTGCCACATCACAACAACTAGAATTTGAGAATTGATATTTTCTTGAGATTGGAGACAGAGAAATGAATCTCTACTTTTTGGTTTGCTTTAGAGAGCTTCTGCGATTTAGTGGAAGAGCGACGAAGAGAGATTTTGGGCGGAAAAGAGGGAAATTATTCTGGTTTTTGGGGGAAGAAATTTGTGCGAAGAATGGGTTTTTGGGCGCCGGAATTTTGGTAAAGAAATGGGTTGTTCTAATAGTTTTATAACCCTAGCTTTGACTTAATGAAAAATGGGTGGGAGAATTTGCCTTGGTGAAAATTTTGAGGTGGGAAAAATGTTTATTATTATTTTTTTTTTAAACCGGGTTTGGGGTTTTGTTTTCTTTAATTTTAGATTTATAATCTTTTTAATTTAAATTTTTTTAATTTTAATGAAAAAATTGTTTACTTTTTAATTTTTTTTTAATAAAATTGGAAATTCAGTTTTCTCTATTTCTATGGACCAAAATCAAACTATTTCTTGGATAACTGGAAAACCACTTTGGTTCCCTGTTCGGTTAAGTTTCTACTATTTTTGAACACCCCTAAATTTGGGTGTTGGGGATACGCCTCGATAAGAACTCACCGAAGTTAACAAACTCCGTCAAAATAGACAGGGGTAAGCGCCAAAGTCACTGAGCGAGTCGTCATCTACTGAACAGGACTGGTAGAAACGAGAACTTGTTTTCCAGTGCCAGAAATAGGTCGACTATAAGGGTTTCAAAAATGAGTGAAATGAGGTTAGCATAAGTTTTAAGGAAAAAATTATGGGAAGAGTGAATGAAAAATTGGTTGCAAAAAAGCAAATTTTTTTATTTTTTATTTTTTTTGTTTTTTATACTTAATCCTTGATAGTTAAAAACTGTCAAAGATTTAGACTACAACAGTCAAAACAAGATTAACAATTTATTTTTAGCCAATTCTTTGACAGTTAATAACTATCAAGAATCACCAAAATGGTCAAGGATTATTTTAATTCTTGACAATTCATAAATGGTCAAATCAATCAGGAATTGAAAACGGTCAAGAAAATTGTCAACTCATTCTTCAAGGAAGGAGGTTTTTTCTAGTAGTTTGAGTTTTACATGTATCACATCTATTAAGTGAATTCCCGAATCCACTACTTAAAGAACCAGATCATACCAGTCTGTTGGACCAAAATCTGGTACCTTTACAGTCTAGTTCTCTTTGAAAACTGGATCACACATCAACCCGTTTGGAAAGTTATACAGAAGGTGCAACATAGGCATTTGTACGACATTCTCGTAAAATTGAGGAAGATCAATCGAACTCATGATGCATATCAAACCAATAATTTAGATGAATTTTTAGTTTTCATATTGAGGCAAAGTTAATGGACAAAAATAACTTGTAGGGTGGATGTGGAACAAGAGGTTGTTCAATTTATGCAACCAAGTAGAGTCAGTGATGATGAATAAAATGAAGATGTACAAGTTGAAGATGATATTGAGAATTATAATATTTATTATTATTATCCAAATTTAATTTGTATATTGTGATGTGATTTTTCTTTGTGCATTAATTTTGATTTGTTTGCTTTAATATTAATAAATATTATTTAATGTACTAAATTTGACATTTAAAATAAAATATTAAATAATATTAAAATTTATATAATATATATTATAAAAAAATAATAATGATCCCAAATAGCAACAAATAAGTACCAAATATAGCTAAGGAGAAACATGTAATACTATCACCAAAACACAAATTAATGAAGCACTGTATCTTCCGCATGATGGCTATGTATGATTACACAAATTGTTTTCCCCTTCAAGAAGGCGCACCACCTGTATGTATGCCATAGATGAATTAATAAAGATTTTCCAAAAATTTAAGAATGAAATGAAGTCAAAGTGTAATCACCTCTCCCATGGATGGCCTCATTTCAGGGTTCCTTTTTATACATAAGCCAGCCGTTTTAGCCATAACATATATTTCATATGTATAATCTGAATCTTCGATACGAGAATCGATGAGTTCATGTAACGCACGTTCCTCAATCAATGGTTCAGCCTAAAATTACCAGAGAACATGAGCATAAATGTGACCACATAATTGTGGTTAGTACTTCAGAGATAAATGCTCTTCTTGAAACTTGAAAGCAATTTTAATAGTTTTTAGAACAAAAAGGACAAGAAGAAGACCATGTATTACATACCCATTCTCTCAGAGATGGTTGTTCTTCTTCTCTATTTGTATCAAACACCTTGCGTCCTGATAATAATTGTATCAAAACTATGCCAAATGCATAGACATCCGTCCTCACTGAAACTATTCCATTCTCTGCATATTCTGGAGCAACATACCTAAAACAAATCAAAGTACTCAGTAAATACTTAATTTAAAACATTTGGTATCAAACAAGAAGAAATTAAAGTAGTGGAAAGCTAATAGAGGTTATACCCCAAAGTGCCAAGTATTTTGGTCTGAACTGGATCCTCAGTTGACTTCCATCGTGCAAGGCCAAAGTCACCTAGCTGAGTATATAAGACACCAGTTTGTTAACTGCAATGTCCTGGAAACTGATCTTGTTTTCAATTTGATGAAAAAAGGAAAACAGTTTTTTGAGATTCTCTGTTGTCAAGCTGTGTCAACACATTCACGACATTACAATAATCAAATTTGTTACATAATAATATTATGTAAAGCAAAAGAGCTGAGAAAACTGTGGTGTCCAACAAGGCTCTAGAATTTCAACATGTGGAAGCAAAATTTCTCAGACCACTAGACTTCAGATATAAAGGTAAGGTCTTTTAGATGTAGCTCATGCACATTCTTCTCCTAGGATTACTTATCTAATGTCTATGGGATATCCAATTACACCAAAGGGAGTTAATATAATAAAGAAGAAAAAGAGGGAAAATGAACAGAATGAAAATAAATGGGCATGAGAAATTACCATAGGAACAAAGTCATGTGTGAGAAGTATATTGCCTGGACGCACGTCGCGATGAATTATAGGAGCTCCGCGGCATTCTTCATGTAGAAAACGCAAACCCTTTGCAGTTCCAATGGCAATAGCATGCCTTTGGTGCCACTCAAGAACAGTTGTACTATCTAAAAGTAAAAGGAAATAAATTTTAGAACTCGAAATATTTAGTAGAATAACTAGGAAAACCTGCAATGACTTTGATTTGCTCCAGTAATTACTCACCGAATAAATGCCAATGTAGAGACTTGTTGCAGATATACTCATAAACTAAAATGTTAAGGTTCTCCCTGCAACAATAACCCAAAAGCATCACAATGTTCTTGTGGCGTGCAAAACTGAGGACATACACCTCAGAGTGAAATTCTGCAAACCCTTGGCAACTTGCATCTTTTCGTACCTTTGCTGCAATCATCTGTCCATCTTTAAGTTGGCCCTTAAATACACGGCCAAATCCACCCTCTCCAAGTAAATTATCCCCTGATAAATCATTTGTTGCTTGCTGAATTTCGAGAAAACTGAATTTCATAGAATCTTTGATATACAACTCAGTCCTCAGCCCACATGTAGCACAAAGAAGTGGAGCTCCTGAAGATCTCTTTCGCAAGTGATTCTTATGCTGTGGAATTTTTATCCTCTGAGAAGGTGAAGAAAGTTGCGGACCTGATTTTTCTTGCTCAGAGTGAGCCCCAGAATCAGATGGAAAGTAATGCTCCCGCGAACCATAAATGGACGAAGACATCAAATCGCTATCCAAGGACCTGTGGATTTGAAGATAGCTCTTAATACTGGAGATAGACTGCTGATCAGCATTTTCTGCAGGTTGAGTATTAGGTTGGGGAACTGATTTTGACATGGAGTTAAACAACTTGTGCTCTATAAGTGCATCTGTTTCATTTGTTGTCTTAGATCTCAAGATTTCCACATCCAAGCTATCTTGAATTAATGCAAGCTTTGAAGGTATTTGTCTCAGATAGAACCCCTGATCTCTTCTCAGATGCCTGCAGGGTTTGCAAGTTATAAGGAAAAATTGAGCACCTAATTAATGCAGAATTTGGATGTGTTTTCAATCATAAATATGAAAGTATGACCTTATAGACTTCTTGACTCGGAACACAAGAATAGAATAAAGAGAAAACAATTACCTATCAAGTATAACCCAAGTTGCTTTACACGCTAAAACCTCTTGCACAATAACCTTCTTAAGGGGCGTTCCAGCAGTAACTTTAACTTCAATGCTGACCTAAACATGATCATATATATGGGAATTACAAACAAAATCGAAGAATAACTATGAAAAACTGTCTCAAATGGATTTTCAATTGGATACCAACTCTTGGAACTTGTCCTATCTATATAAATATAATCATAAGTAAGTTAACTCATTAAATTTTTTTCCAAATAATAAACTATAGTCAATGAAAGGGGATGGCTTAAAAATAGAATTGATCCAAGCGGTCGGTTCAGGAATCTACAAAGCTTGAATGAGGACGACAATTTTTCCAAATTTCTGTTGGTTCAAAGTGTTAATACAATCATGCCTCACCTTCTTGTTGCGCTCTCCTTTCATGGTCCCTGAGGTTGGGATTCTTTTTGCTCCACTCCATCTCTTCCACTATTTCATTTTTCACTTTAATTCAAAGCTGCTGTCAACCATGCGTTTACCAAACACATAAAGCCTAGAGAAATAATAAAAATATTTTGATTAGCTCTGAAACCCAATTACTTTATACCAGCTCATTCAACTGTGTGGATGAATTGCTTCTCACTTTTTCTTCTGAGAGAAAGTGTTTTTCAACTTTTGTTCTTATTGTAAGTGGGTAAAGCTAAAGGGGGAATGGATCCTGCCAAAATTCAAGTCCATTTCAACGTAGAATCTCATCGTTTCCTGTATGGATGGAGCAACCCGAAACCTAATGATTATTTCATATATATTTTGTATTCTAACAGTTTATACATTCTTCACTCAGCTAGTGGTAGCTACTATTTTCAGTCCACTTCAATAGCCCCTTTACTCCACGCCTCATGCTTTTGGTTGTATGCATGTATTAGAGCTTTAGTGCTTCAAAATTTGATGAATCATATATATTCTTTTGGTGGATCAGGATCTGCCAAGATTTGATTAGCTAGAGAACAATTTCTCTAAAGCCATGCATTATGCTTACTAATAAGTAATTTTGATTGTCTTAGTTTGTTGATAAGAAAAGCATTATCAACCAATTATCATTAGATTATCGACTAATACACAGTAATTGGTTGAGCCTTATCGCATCAATCTCTATGGATCTTTAAAGCATCAACCTATTAAAATCTTCCTTAAATGTTGCATTCTCATATTGAGATTATCCAGTTCCATACAAAAGTTTAACATGCCCCTAGTTCACAACCCACTTCACTCTCATGTCAACTTAAACAGACACCCACTCAATGTAATTTTAATTTTTGATCAGCTTCACCCAAAATATTATAATTTACATTGCAAGTATTTGAATATCCTTTCCTAATTTGAATTTTCCCTATTTCATGATCGCGATACTAAACATATTAGATATTAAGAGTATAATCTTCATTAATCACATGATGTATTTATAAACATATATATAACACAGGGGATATATATAAGAAACATATTAATTTACACGGTCAAAATTCACAACTCAACTCAACATTTTGAGAAAATTAAACTTACCCTTTGCTTGCTATATGATTAAACTTTAATGTTAAGACTTATATGTATGTAAGAGCAGGTTGTAACTTTTTTCCAAAACCAGGAGACACCAAATCAATGGCCCCAGAACAGTAAACAGCAGACAGATTGTATATAACACGCAAGGAGAAACATGTAATACTATCACCAAAACACAAATTAATGAAGCACTGTATCTTCCGCATGAGGGAGGGTCGTTCTTGGACTTAAAAGATAAATAGACCCTACAAGACAAGGCAAAACTTGTAATTTAAGCTAAATATTGCCATATAAGAGAATATTGTAGCTTAATTTTAATTTTATATTTAGATACAGTTGATTATCTTTATAAAGTATTTCTACTTTTTTCTTTTTAAAGATATTTTCTTTTCAGGGTTTTTGGTTGATTGGATGAAATTTTGTAAATTAAATGTTTTTTCAGGATAATTTTGTCAAAAACTATTAAATACCCTTTTTGATATTATTACCAAAACCCCTATAAAAATATGGTAATGTTAAACATATAATTCTGGGAAATTAAAAAGAAGAATATATGAGTAGGAAATTATTTAAAGGATAGAAAAAGATTTGAAATAAATTGGGATTAAAATAAAATACCTTTATCTTACATCTTTATTTATTTCCTTTTTCCTATATGTTAAATATGGTGGCAATGCTCATAAAAATCTACAACCAGAAAATTAACCTTGAATAATAAATTTGACAAGTCAAATTAAACATTAATATTATAAGATATGTTAGTATTGGTTAATGGATGTTAATTATTAGAACCAAGAGAAATGGAATCGAATTCTTTCAAACTTAGTGATTCATTAAAAGCAGAGAGTCAATGTATTTTAATTCAATCTAAAGTTTGCTTTTGTCTTTTCAAAGAATCGGGATCACATGCTTCTACTTTTTTAATACAAAATTCCTACATTCAAATTATATCAAAATGATGCTTCTTTATTTATTAAACTTGCCTTAATTAAACTGATTATGAATTAAGGAAAATAAACCTTAACTCAACTACATACATATATAGTTAGGTTAGTTGGATCTCTGTGTATCAAATGTGGAAGTTCAGAACCTCCTATTTTATTTTTATTGTTTAATATTGATCACTTTCGATCAGTGTTTTTATGATTAAGAATGTGTTTATCTGAATTTATAAGTTCAAAAATTAAACTGATTTGTTTGTTTATAACTATTTTGGGTTGCAAAAAAAATAAAAATAAATAAATAAATTAACGGAGAAGTACTTTATTTTTTATTTTATTTTTTTAATAGCTTATAAACACTCTGCTTATAAACTAGTTTGACCAAATATATTATTATATTATCCCTATTTAATTTTAAAATTCTATCGTATAATTTATTAATTAATAAAATATAATATAGTATTCTTTATAGTTATTTTAATAATAAAATATACTTATAAATAATATTTTACCAAACGCATTAATTATTTATCAGTTACTTATAAGTACTTTAATTAAATATATAACTACTTAAAATTTTAAATACTTATAAACTCAAATTAGCATATAAACTTAACTAAACAGGCTCTAATTGCATACTTATGTGGGCATTAAATAATTGGGATCATTATTATTAATTATTTTAATTTGCCCCTCAATCTCTGACTTTTGTTCTATTAAAATAAAAGAGGTAATTAATTAAAGAAATGCCTAATCCAAACAAAATTAATTAAAGAAAGACGGAGAGCAAGTGGGCACCGGGCAGGTGTAGAAAATGCAAATGGGCCAAGTTGCAAGATTTGTAAAGATTCTGTATCATGCCTTTGCAAGAGGATCTCAGCCGTCCACCACACCTTTTTTGAGGACCCATTGGATTTGTAATTGACGTTGCCAGTTGCCTTCAATTTCGTTCCCTAAGAACTTTTCATGTTGTGTTGTGTCCTTGTCACAATAACAAATTTAATTTTAAAATAAAACTACTGAATCAATTAAAACGTGTATAATATTAATTGAAACAACAATTTTTGTGGACCCGACCCATATTCATGATTGATCAAAGGGATTTCAATTGGTAATACCACCTCGTTGGAACTTGTCCTATCTATATAAATATAATCATAGTAAGTTAACTCATTAATTTTTTCCAATAATAAACTATCAGTCAATGAAAGGGGATGGCTTAAAAATAGAATTGTCCAAGCGGTCGGTTCAGGATCTACAAAGCTTGATGAGACACCAATTTTTCCAAATTTCTGTTGTTCAAAGTGTTATACAATCATGCCTCACCTTCTTCTTGTTGCGCTCTCCTTTTCATGGTCCCTGATGGTTGGATTCTTTTTGCTCCACTCCACTTCTCTTCCACTATTTCATTTTTCACTTAATTCAAAGCTGCTGTCAACCATGCGTTTACCAAACACATAACCTAGAGAAAATAATAAATAATATTTTGATTAGCTCTGAAACCCATTACTTTATACCAGCTCATTCAACTGTGTGATGAATTGCTTCTCACTTTTTCTTCTGAGATAAGTGTTTTTCAACTTTTGTTCTTATTGTAAGTGGGTAAAGCTAAAGGGGGAATGGATCCTGCCAAAATTCAAGTCCATTTCAACGTAGAATCTCATCGTTTTCCTGTGATGGGGCAACCCCGAAACCCTAATGATTATTCATATATATTTTTGTATTCTACAGTTTATACTATTCTTCACCTCAGCTAGTGGTAGCTACTATTTTCAGTCCACTTCAATAGCCCCTTTTACTCCACGCCTCACATGCTATTTGGTTGTATGCATGTATTAGAGCTTTAGTGCTTCAAAATTTGATGAATCATATATATTCTTTTGGTGGATCAGGATCTGCCAAGATTGAGAGCTAGAGAACAATTTCTCTAAAGCCATGCATATTGCTTACTAATAAGTAATTTTGATTGTCTTAGTTTGTTGATAAGAAAAGCATTATCAACCAATTATCATTAGATTATCGACCTAATACACAGTAATTGTTGAGCCTTATCGCATCAATCTCTATGGATCTTTAAAGCACAACCTATTAAAATCTTCCTAAATGTTGCATTCTCATATATGAGATTATCCAGTTCCATACAAAAGTTTAACATGCCCCTAGTTCACACCCACTTCACTCTCATGTCAACTTAAACAGACACCCACTCAATGTAATTTTAATTTTATGATCAGCTTTACACCCAAAATCTTATTATATTTACATTGCAAGTATTTGAATATCCTTTCCTAATTTGAATTTTCCCTATTTCATGATCGGCGATACTAAACATTTAGATATTAGAGTATAATCTTCATTAATCACATGATGTATATTATAAACATATATATAACACAGTGGATATATATAAGAAAACTATTAATTTACACGGTCAAATTCACAACTCAACTCAACATTTGAGGAAAATTAAACTTACCCTTTGCTTGCTATATTGATTAAACTTTAATGTTAAAGACTTATATGTATGTAAGAGCAGTTGTAACTTTTTTTCCAAAACCAGGAGACACCAAATCAATGGCCCCAGAACAGTAACAGCAGACGATATTGTATATACAGCAAAGGAGAAACATGTAATACTATCACCAAAACACAAATTAAGAAGCACTGTATCTTCCGCATGATGGCTATGTATGATTACACAAATTGTTTCCCCTTCAAGAAGGCGCCCACCCTGCATGTATGCCATAGATGAATTAATAAAGATTTCCAAAAATTTAAGAATGAAATGAAGTCAAAGTGTAATCACCTCTCCCATGGATGGCCGCATTTCAGGGTTCCTTTTTATACATAAGCCAGCCGTTTTAGCCATAACATATATTTCATATGTATTATCTGAATCTTCGATACGAGAATCGATGAGTTCATGTGTAACGCACGTTCCTCAATCAATGGTTCAGCCTAAAATACCAGAGAACATGATCATAAATGTGACCACATAATTGTGTTAGTACTTCAGAGACAGATGCTCTTCTTGAAACTTGAAAGCAATTTTAATAGTTTTTAGAACAAAAAGGACAAGAAGAAGACCATGTATTACATACCCATTCTCTCAGAGATGGTTGTTCTTCTTCTCTTTGTATCAAACACTTGCGTCCTGATAATAATTGTATCAAAACTATGCCAAATGCATACATCCGTCCTCACTGAAACTATTCCATTCTCTGCATATTCTGGAGCAACATACCTAAAAACATCAAGTACTCAGAAATACTTATTTAAAACATTTGGTATCAAACAGAAGAAATTAAAGTAGTGGAAAGCTAATAGAGGTTATACCCCAAAGTGCCAAGTATTTTGGTCTGAACTGGATCCTCATTTGACTTCCATCGTGCAAGCCAAAGTCACCTAGCTGAGTATATAAGACACCAGTTTGTAACTGCAATGTCCTGGAAACTGATCTTGTTTTCAATTTGATGAAAAAAGGAAAACAGTTTTTTGAGATTCTCTGTTGTCAAGCTGTGTCAACACATTCACGACATTACAATAATCAAATTTGTTACATATAATATTATGTAAAGCAAAAAGCTGAAAAACTGTGGGTGTCCAACAAGGCTCTAGAATTTCAACATGTGGAAGCAAAATTCTCAGACCACTAGACTTCAGATAAAAGGTAGGTCTTTTAGATGTAGCTCATGCACATTCTTCTCCTAGGATTACTTATCAATGTCTATGGGATATCCATTACACCAAGGGGTTAATATAATAAGAAGAAAAAGAGGAAAATGAACAAGAATGAAAATAATGGGCATGAGAAATTCCCAAGGAACAAAGTCATGTGTGAGAAGTATATTGCCTGGACGCACGTCCGCATGAATTATAGGAGCTCCGCGGCATTCTTCATGTAAAAACGCAAACCCTTTGCAGTTCCAATGGCAATAGCATGCCTTTGGTGCCACTCAAGAACAGTTGTATACTATCTAAAAGTAAAAAGAAATAAATTTGAAACTCGAAATATTTAGTAAATAACTAGGAAACCTGCAATGACTTTGTTTGCTCCAGTAATTACCCACCGAATAAATGCCATGTAGAGACTTGTTGCAGAATACTCATAACAAAATGTTAAGGTTCTCCCTGCAACAATAACCCAAAAGCATCACAATGTTTCTGTGGCGTGCAAAACTGAGGACATACACCTCAGAGTGAAATTCTGCAAACCTTGGCAACTTGCATCTTTTCGTACCTTTGCTGCAATCATCGTCCCATCTTTAAGTTGGCCCTTAAATACACGACCAAATCCACCCTCTCCGAGTAATATCCCCTGATAATCATTTGTTGCTTGCTGAATTTCGAGAAACTGAATTTCATAGAATCTTTGATATACACCTCAGTCCTCAGCCCACATGAGCACAAGAATGGGAGCTCCTAAGATCTCTTTCGCAAGTGATTCTTATGCTGTGGAATTTTTATCCTCTGAGAAGGTAAGAAAGTTGCGGACCTGATTTTTTCTTGCTCAGAGTGAGCCCCAGAATCAGATGGAAAGTAATGCTCCCGCGAACCATAAATGGACGAAGACATCAAATCCTTATCCAGGACCTGTGGATTTGAAGATAGCTCTTAATACTGGAGATAGACTGCTGATCAGCATTTCTGCAGGTTGAGTATTAGGTTGGGGAACTGATTTTGACATGGAGTTAAACAACTTGTGCTCTATAGTGCATCTGTTTCATTTGTTGTCTTAGATCTCAAGATTTCCACATCCAACTATCTTGAATTAATGCAAGCTTTGAAGGTATTTGTCTCAGATAGAACCCCTGATCTCTTCTCAGATGCCTGCAGGTTTGCAAGTTATAAGGAAAAATTGAGCACCTAATTAATGCAGATTTGGATGTGTTTTCAATCATAAATATGAAAGTATGACCTTATAGACTTCTTGACTCGGAACACAAGAATAGAATAAGAGAAAACAATTACCTATCAAGTATAACCCAAGTTGCTTTACACGCTAAAACCCTTGCACAATAACCTTCTTAAGGGCGTTCCAGCAGTAACTTTACTTCAATGCTGACCTAAACATGATCATATATATGGATTACAAACAAATCGAAGAATAACTATGAAACTGTCTGTTTCCCTATATGAAATTTGTTATACAACACAATTACACGTATAATGTGCCAGAAGTAAAACAATTTCTAATCATAGGTGATCATACAAGTTTATTAATCTGCCAATTGATAGCACAGAACTAGAGGCCCTTATTGACTAATATTCAAACCATCTATAATATATTACCCCATCATCACACACGCCCAGCACTTTGAAGAACATATTTTATTGCATCCGCTTTCTTTGTAACTTCTTCTCCATAGCACGAACCTCGTTCCAAAATTATCACACATGCCTTGGCCTGGTAACCCACTATACCAACCCAAAACAAGAAAATGAATAAACATAGTTCGTTATACACACTCTTATCAGTCTTAGCTATAAATACACATATCATCTTATTGTAGTTCACATTGCGCTTTGTGCACAAATGAAAAACAGAATTTTTAGGGGTTAATAAAAGCACACCTCTAAGAATAAAACGGATTAAAATTTTTGAATACAAACATATATCTACCTTTAATTTTCATAGGTTAAATGGATCATCACAAGGATAATACACAATATAATTAACACATCTATATCATTCTATGCTAATTTTTATTCGTTAACATACAATTTTATACTCATTCAAGTGAAACAATTGTCACTAAACTGATGGGTTAAGTTGAGAACAGGTAAGCATGATAATCTAAGTAAATAATATGTTTGATATAATTATGAAAGCAATCCATCAAAGACTTACTGGGTGAGTGACCATATGCAAACGCCAAGCACAAGAAGTGTATCACCTCCTCGAGAATGTCACCTCTCAGTCTGACTCTATTCACAGTGACCTTAAGCTCATCTTGACCACGTTCTTAGTTTGCATCATATGCTATCACAACATAGGATGGTGAAGAAAGGTCTCCATATATTTAACTAGAGACACAGCAAATCCACTGGCTAGCTAAGTCTTTTTTTTTTTTTATTTAATGGTAACAACGAGTAAGGATTTTAAAGAGCGTAAACCAGTTCAAAGGTTTTCGTACAGCAGAGAAAATTGATGAAGGATTTGATTGGCTAACCGATCATCTGAATTTTGATAGATTATAAAGTTTTGTTTATTTGTTTAACTCGTCTCTCTTCCTGTTTTGACATTGGTAGAGTATATTCTGAGAATGATACCCGATTTTTTTTGATATTCGAATCACAATATATATAATATACACACCAGAAATTGCGCCAAATTGTCGCCGCAATCCAAAGACAAGGAGAAGATTGCGAGGCGCTTCGTGACAGAAAACGGCATTGTGTTTGCTTTAAGATTACTTATGTTATTTTTTTCTTATTCTATTTCTAATGTAGGCTGAGTTACTGCATTATCTCTCAAAATGCTTATATAAGCAACACACCCCGTGCAAAGCTGGGAGCCCATGCCTAATACCGGCCTCATATTACTACCAAATTGGATTCGAACAGTGTAAAGTAAAAGGCTAAACAGTTTTTGCTTATTGAAATGTCAGTGTCAATAAGAAATTAAAATTAATATTTATTCTTGCCTTTCAAAGGGACTTTTTGGACGTTGTGGAGCGAATATAGAGATTTTGTTTATACAAATAACGTGATATATTTATATACTAGAGATTTATTTCTTATTTTTCTTTAAACTTTTTATTTAAATCTTGGTTATTACGTTTTTTATTCCGTCTAAAGATACTTATTTACGATAGAATCAAGACGAATTTTGAATATATAAAATCATTAATATTCTGTTATTTCACTTAAGCTATCGACAAACCATATTTAAATTAACTAAAATACATGATGAAGACCCTTTGATCAATCATAAATCCCTAGAGACGGATCTAGAAATTTCTGTTAGGAGTAGTCAAGTTAAAAACTAATTACACATTAATATTTTTGTCTATTAATATTTCTATTAAGGTAGGTCAAAATCCAGAAATTGTACATATTAATATTTAAAAAAAAATAGAGGCATCCGCCCCTACAAATCCCCTATAGATATTAACTTGAGATTATCAAGCATTAGAAGCCACACTAAGTGATACATTATGTATTCCGTGAAGAGTCACTGAAGGATTGGTGGAGTTGTTGGAGATTGTTAGAGTTGTCTACCACTTTAACAATAACGGGTCACACAAACGCATTTGAGCCTATTCCATGAAGAGCCGCTGAAGGATTTTTCGAAGTAATTAATTCCTAATTGGGTTTCGGCTTAAGAAAAGGGATACTCGTAATATTAGGTTTTACTCTTTAAACCTAGTATATGTTTTTTTGTTGTATAAGGGTGATATCAAGTCATAGGAAAAACTACATTCATTGTAATGGGGAGGTGAGACAATATTCAATAATATTGACTCTGGTAGACATAGCCTGTTCATTGGGTGAGCAAAAGTAAATCGCACGTATTATTCTTTTTCTTTACTTGTGTGTGTTTATTATTTTTGGTTTTGTATTACTCTAGATTATTTCAATACAAAGCCAGAGGTGACAAAAATATATATGAAATCACAGAGCAATAGCAAAATATTATATCATCATAACTTTTTACACTTAAAATAATATGTATATTTTATGTTTCTATCACACCCCCTCCTGGGTATCCCTTTCTCGTCGAATCCGAGCGCTCCAAAGGATTGAGTATCCCGAGAGAATAGTGAATATTTTCGAAAACGTCTCTTTAAAGATCCATTTTTATAAAAACATAAGTGAATACTAATACAAATCGAAGTACAAAAGAAAAGTTTTATGAAAGCAGAAGTACATAAAATAAAGTTTTGAAACAAAGGCTAGAAATCTGATCACAAAATTATAGTATCAGAGTGCACTACAATTTTACAGAATATACTGATGATTGTACATCAATGGTCAACCTAGAGCGTAGAGTGTGCTCCGCACGAATCCGATTTACGATCCTAGGGGGGACAGTGAGCTAAGGAGGCCAGTGAGTGGATAATACATTTAATATGAAACTAAGACATGAATGCACATCAAGATGCTATGGCAATTTATATAATGCTCACTCACAGTGCTCATACCAATACTAAATCTATATCAATACTGTAACCATACCAATCCTGTACCCCGTGATTTATGTCATACCTCTCGCATGTAAGTCCTTAACACAAACAAGTACTAGGTGTGTCTCTAACAGACTTGATCACCGACTAGGTGTGTCTCTCTCACATTGAAACAACACCTAGGTGTGTCTCTCACACACTAGAACAATGACTATGTGTCTCTCTCTCACACTAGAAAAACACCTAGGTGTGTCTCTCTCACACCAGAACAACGACTAGGTGTGTCTCTCACACACTAGAACAACACCTAAGTGTGTCTGTCACACACTGGAACAACCAAGCCACTCAAGCTTATACCCGCCTAGTATAAACATAATCCCACCCAAGCCAGTATTCGCTGGGTGTAATCCTGCCTGGAGCTCATCCTGTATCTATTCTGTCCCAATAGGATACCGTAATCATTCGGTAGGACGTATCATCTCAATGAGCACATGACGCTAAGTATAAAATGCTAGTTGATGAATTGAGGGAAACGGGTACTAAGAAATGTGATATCAATCTGAAAGATAAAATGCATCCACAAACATTACATCCAGATATCCAACCACATAATAAAAATGCATACCATCATATATATATACATATATAATTCTAAGTCCAAACCAGCATGTATTCCTAGATGCAAAACTTGTAGTAACATAAATACGTTAATCATGTGAGCATTACCATTTAACACCCATAAAATATATTTATAAAAAAATCCAGTCCCCCAAAAACTCTCAAATATGACAGTTTCCTCTTCAGAATAAAGGAGTCTCATTCAAGAAGGGGGACTGTCCCTAAGGCCCAAACCCCAGAATTTAAAAAGGCTTTACAAAAGGGACTAGGCCATATTATTAATAGGCTAGCCCACTAAATAATAAAACCCAATACCTAACAAAATAACTAGGCCTTGCTGCTAATAGGCCTGCCCACCTAATATAATACAAATCCAACACTCAAAACAGATAACTGGGCCATAATTAGAGCCCAAATACGGTAGGCCCAAAGAGTAAAGGGCTTATAACACATGCATATATGGCACAATTTTTATATATCACCCATATACATCCGGCCAAAGTCATGTCATTAGACTCATTACTAAGCCCAGCAGCTTCAAAATTATAACCAAAATTCAAGCATTTAATTTTAAATAAAAGGGTCAGCCGATTAATATAATGGTGTTATCCACTCAAGCTTCTTTAATTAAACAACCAATATACACTTCCCACCAAGTCCAACCGAAATGCACCATGTGGTCCATATCCATATAGAAATATACATCTTCCAGTAACCAAAATCACACCCACCACAACATGCTTTCAACCAACCTTGTAGCAACTTAAGTTGCAACATTTATCACCTTTTAATGACACTCCAGCAGCCAAAATAATTCAACATTATTACATGCATATATAAATTATAATACCCAAAATATAAATATAAATGTTATGGGTAAAATTACATTGACATTAGCACCACCAATCAAAATGAGCTGTTAGTCCCATCAATTAAAGTTTAATAAAAGAGCTAAAGGACAAAATAACCTTAATTGTCAAGAACAAACAGACTTAAGAGCGTTTATATCAGTCCCATCCCTGTTTAAGATAAGGATTAAGGAGTAGTAGGGGTGGAAAAATCCGGTTAACCGGACCGGTTAACTTGTTGTTGTTAACCTGTTGTTTGAACCAAACCAGTTTTCGATTCTAAAAATAAATTGAACCGAAACCGATCCGGTTTCAGTTATAAACCGAAAATTCGGTTCGCTTAACCGGTTAATTGAAATTTATGATGCGTTGCCTTTTTCGGCCCAATTCGGTCACCATTATGGGCTGCATTTTTTGGCCCAATTCAGTCCTTTTTATTTTTTTTTCCACGTTTAATGACGTTGAAACACCAAGATCCAAAATCAAACAACTGAGTCATTTCTAACCAAATAACAATTGATTCTCAACTCCAAAATCATTATTCATTTATTGATGAAGTAACACAAAAAACTTGTAGTTCTAAATCATTCATTCTAAGTTTGAACTAACAAATACATAGCCATCACCATCAGTACATATACAAGAATTAAAACCAAAATCTTCAATGTCAAACCCTAGATCTGAAAACGTGACAACACAGATCTAAAAACCCACTGGCAACAGACGACGACGGCGACTGCAGCTGAGCGACGACGACGACGTGAGAACGCAGATATGAAAACGGAGAGATAATGAGAGTCTGACAGAGAGTGAGAGACAGAGAATGAGACTGAGCGCGAGAGTGAGAGTGAGAGACATAGACTAAGAGAGAATGAGACTGAGACTGAGAAAACTGAAGGAGAAGAGATGAGAAGAAGACGAAAAAAAGGTGAAAAGTGAAAAGAAGAAAGGGAGAAGAAGAAGAAGATGAAGATGAAAGAGAAAAGTAAAGGAGAAGATGATGATGAAAAAGGAAGTTGAAAGAGAGAAGTGACAGAGAAAGATGAAAGAGAAAAGTGAGGAGAAGATTGAAAATGATGGAAAAGATAGATGAAAGAGAAAAGTGGTGGTGGGCTTAATTATAATAATATGTATTATTTATTTTTGAAACCGGTTTTATAGTTCGGTTTTGGTTAACCGGTTTAAAAATACTTGTAAATCGAAAACCGAACCAATTAATCGATTTATGAATTTTTTAAACCGAACCAGATTTTAGAAAAACTGAATTTTCGGTTTGGTTTTCGGTTTGGTTTTCGGTCTTTTTTTTCCATCCCTAAGGAGTAGTCCTCACAGGATAACTTGCAAAAACACTTATTACATTGACCTCAAATGTATAAAAGGGCATTCTTCATGAAAAAAGGAGGCTGTATATATGTGAGCTGGGCATACATTCGAGCTTCAACCATTATTTTTTCTCTATAAACAAAGCATGAATAAATTTTTGCATGCCTTACAGGCAATATCAGAAAAATAATCAGAGAATAATAAAATAACAGTGGATGTAGGATTTGCTTTGAGCATCCAAACCGCTATAAAAATCCTTCTTGTCAATTTTTTATTTATGTTTCTTCAAACATATATATATCATCTCAGTATCATAACCAAATTTCAAAATCAATCATATGTAATTTGTAGGATCTTTCTCAGCATTTTGCATGTGCGAGGTTATTGGTGTCAAAATTATGTATCAACAATAAATATGTATACCTAATTCATCAACACCCAAACTGCACACACCATTCAACAGATCAGCTATGCAAACGACATAAAGAATAGTCCATTTGACATGAATTTCAAAATGCAATACTATTCCACTCACAGTTTAATGTTTAGCCGAAAATGGAAGGCAACTCAAGGATTCTCTTCCTTCACACCTACAACCATGAAAACTCACGAACTTAGCTAAGCAAAGCCTAATTGAAGAAAAGGAGAAGAATTTTGACAACAAAGTTACATGCATGTTTATGGAAGGTGCAAAAATGGTGGGATCTAGTTCAATCTCTCTCAAACAACATTTTTGCCTCACTTCTCTTTCTCGCTCTTCCTCTCGTCCAAACCAAATTCTTCCTTTCTCTTCTCTTTTCTCTTTTTTTCCCTCTCTTCTTCTTCCTTTCTCTTCTTTCTATCCTCTTTTCTCCTTCTTCCTCTCTCTTCTCATTTGGGTGATTGCACAGTTTTTATATAAAATACTTTTTGAAATTATAATATTCCCTCAAAATTCACTTAATTCTTCTAAAATCCCGCCACATAATCTTTTTCTTGCAAAAATATCCATATTTTCCCCTTTTGTTTGAAAACCTAGAATCTCTCATTTCTTTCTTTTTTACCCTTGACACAACTTTTTAAAATTTAACAAAAACACCCTCAAAAAGTTTTAAAAACTTACACTTTACCTCTCAAAACACAAAATTAATCTTTAATAAAATCCAATACAAATACGGGGTGTTACAGTTTCTTAGAAAGAAAAATTATCATTCTTCAATGTTCAATAAAGCAAATTGAGAAAATCAATCAATTTCAGTTCAATATGAAAGACCAACTAACTTGATTTTTCTTGCTTAGAGTGAGCCTCATAATCAGATGGAAAGTAGTAATGCTCCAGTAAATAACAATCTCGAACCACTTTTCCACACAACACAGCACACACTACTCACTCTTTTTCGCTAGTTCATACTGATATTTGGAGACCTTATCACACTCTTAACCATAATGGCTCTCGTTTCTTCTTTACCATAGTTGACGATTTTTCCCAAGGGACATGGGTTTATCTCTTGAATTCAAAAACCCAAACACTTACCAAAATTAGGGCATACATCTCCATGGTCAAAACACAGTTCAATATGTCTATCCAACACATTCGAACAAATAATGCTCGTGATTTCTTCAATCACCAATGCTCCTCATTTTTTTCATCGCTTGGCATTATTCATGAAAGTTCATGTGTCTATAAACCTTAGCAGAATGGTATAGTTGAATGAAAACACAGACATCTTAGAAGTAGCCCAAGCTCTCAAACACTAAGCCAATATCTCTCTTTCCTTTTAGGGCGAATGTGTGGTCACTGTACTTACCTGGTCAATTGGATGCCCACCAAAGTTCTTAATGGTAAGACACCCTATGAACTTCTCTTTAGTAAACTCCCAAACATTGACCATTTCAAAGTTTTTGGTTGTTTATGCTATGCTACTAATCTTGGGGCTCATTAAAAGTTTGGTCCTTGCGTCACTCGATGTGTTTTCATGGGATAACTTATGCATCAGAAAGGGGATTGCCTATACAACCTGATAAAAAACAAGTTCCTGGTTTCCAGAGATGTGGTCTTTCATGAAGGTAACTTTCCTTTTCTGGATACTACTAACCAATCTAGTAGTTCCCCATCAAACAACTCCTTTCCTAGAAGATGACCCATCTCCATTGGGACCACTCCTCAGTGTAACTCTTACAAATGATCTGGGTTCCTCTACAACAACTATCGACTCTACTCCTTTGCCTCATATAGAGTCCTATCCATCGGCAAGCTCATCTCTTGCCCTTATAGATAGTCCTACTACTCATCTAGAACCGACCCCACGTCGGTCCACATGGTCCACTTGACCACCCATCTAGATAGCTAATTATGTCTGCCCCACTATTCAAAATGCCTCAGGTATTCTTTACCCTACCTCTGATTATGTCAGTTATGACCGTCTCTCTACTGTCCATAGGATCTATGCCAATCGGATCTCTATCTGCAACAAAAAGGGCTTTTAGCTACGCAATTTTTTGTTGCTAAAAACGTAGAAATCGTCATGGAATATGTTTAGCGACGGAAGAAAATCGTCGCCACGATCGTCGCAGTAGGCATGTTGTGCTTGATTTTAGGCGATGATTTGTTAAAATTCGTTGCTAAATATGGCGACAAACCAAAAAATTGTCGCCTATACCATTTTCGTTGCTAAAACTATTTACCGGTGAAATATTAGTTGTTGTCGCCTAAAGTTAATAGCGACTTGCTCTTTATTGTGTTGTCGACACTCTACCATGATGAAATGTGTGTTTATGTTGCCTAACGTATACCGCGACAAAATGTGAATTTTGCTCGCCTACGAAATACTGCGAGGAAATGTGCATTTTTGTTGCATTAATTGTTTGCATCGCGTAAAATATACAGCGACGAAATGTGACGTTTTGTCGCCTAACATGTAGCGCAATAAAAATGAGTTGTTGTCACCTAAAGTTAATAACGACGTAATCTTTATATGTGTCGTTTAAAGTATAGCATGACGATACTTTATATTTTTCTTCACTTAAAGCTATTAGCGATGAAACGTACAAGTCATCAACAAAACTTTTCAATGATGAATGTATTTCATAGCTAAAAGTCTACAACATCGAAATATAATTGTCATTGCCCATTTTATAATATATAATTAAATAATATTTAATTTATCTTAGACATTTTAAAATTTAATTCTAAAACGTAAATATTAATTTGTAAATGTAATTAATTAAAATTACACAAATATATCAAACCAAATATATTATTCTATATATGTTTCTTTTCAAATAAAAAGTTAAAAATATATAAAGTTGACTAAATTATTAATATTAAACAAAAAGTGACATAAAAACTCAAATTGTTGCAGGTGGTGGAGGATCTAGTGGAAATTGGTCCAGAAATGTCTGTGAGCCAGTAGAACAAGAACCCATATTAACTTAGATGAATTGTTGCATCTTCTCCATCATTTGCCTATATTGGTGAAATTCTTTCCTTATGCCTCTTAGTTCTTGCATCTCCTCACGCAAGTGTGTGAGTTCCTCTAAAACTTCTTGATTGGCTAGCCTTGAAGGCTTAGAAGATGCAGGTGGTTTTGGACCATAACCCAATCCACGAGAATAACCAGGTTTTGTTCCTTTACCTGTTGAGTGCAAAGTTTATCAAAGTGCATCTCCACAAGTGTCAATGTTATGGTATGGTAAGAGTTCCGTGTAATATAGCATACTCAAAATTACACAATTATTTAAAAATTATACATAAATCCTTCCCAATGTTATTGCTGAATTTGAAGTCACTCTTGCTTTTATACTAAAGATTCTTAGACATGCCTAAATCATAAATTTCTCAAAAATGTTTTGGCAAACCTAGAGAAATAAAAGATTGCAGAACCATACCTCTTCTAGTGGATCATAGTATATACCATTGTATGAGATTTCACTTGGAGCTTGTACAAAGAACTTTATCCAAGCAGGTATGGAACCTTTAATGCTAGATGGTGTCTCCATTCGAATCTACAAATTAAAAGATGAGAAATAAATTTTATGAGCATAACCACCAAAGTTCTAGGTTCAAGATAATTGACACAATTAAAAGAGTCCGAAAGAATAAGAAAAGGTAAGAGAACATGCATCAAGCCATAGAACAAGACAATGTGTTAGTTATGTACTAAACCATACTGAGTACCTACCTAAAATGTACATGTAACAATTTGAAAGAAAAATATCAAAAAATATCGAAACCATAGCTATCTATCCCTTATACTCCCAGGTTTGATTAAAAAAATGGAATCAAGCATCAAGATCATAACATATGAGAACTGTTATGAGTTTAAACATTATAGTTGGTCCTTTCCCTATTAGCTGATACTTTTGAGATTATGGTTACTCCACAAAAAACTTTCTGCTGGAGAAGGAAAATCATGGAACATATCTGTGCAGACTATGAACTCATTTTGGAAAAGCTAAGATCATTGGGAGCACTCATTTGCAGGTCCACAGACCCACATCCATTTTTAACAAGTTGGATGTCACCCACAATTGTGATAATGCATACTATAAACTTAAAAAGAGTCACAGATAGATGAGTGAAAATATACGACCAAATCATCATTTACAAGCTTAATGGCATTAAACTCCTCTGATTGTAAGCAACAAACTGAAGGAATAACAATTTCGAGTCACTTTAACCATGGTCAATTTCAATTAGATGCCTGCATATGCTAGTTTGGCATGTATAAAAGCTATTCATGGTGCAGCATACAGTCATTATTGAAATCATTGACCACACAAAATGATAACATTTATTTACATCAGGGGTAAGAATATTAAACAAGAAGTTACTTCAACAATTTCAAATAAATGCATTTTATGATACAGCATAAAGATCTTTAATCAACAAATCCAAAGATATACTCCAGAGGACACTGCTCAAATCACATATGGTTTTCAGTCTCTTGGTTATAGTTATCGAAAATTCAGATAATCAGTTTAATAGTCAATCTCAATTCATTTCAGTAAGGATGAATATACACAATCAACTAGATATTTGGAAATCAATGAAATTTATGCCTTACTATGAAGCAAAAAGGTGAAGGAAGATCGTAAAGCTCTAATATAAAGGCAAACCTTCATTTGGCTGGGATCTAAAATAGCCAAAAGACGCTTAATGAACGTGTTCATAGCAAGCACAACATCCTCTCCAACGCTATTAGTCAACTCCTACATAAACAGTGCACAATTCATTTGAAAACAATGTACACAGACTCTTAGAAGAAACAGTGGTGATTCATGAGAGACCATACTCAGATAGATACACATTTGAGTCACACTAAGGGTATTCATTTTGACAGGAAGTATGAAATCAAGGAACATAAATACATAATCCCTCTCCTAAAACCCCAAAATTTTGATTTTCAAACACATAGTGATTTCATTAATTTAAGATTGATTTTTTTCAAAAATGATAAATGCAAACACAGTCTTCCTCAATGGCAACAAAAATATCTAAGCATGACTACAATATTGCAAATGTTTCCCCACAATCAGTGGAAGATTAGATAGCAATCAGAAACTCCAAAGCTCAGATGTCAACCATATGTCAAAGAGGAAATCAAGATAAACAAAACTTCTTACCTTCAAATTCTGATGCTCAAGAGACTTAAGATAGTCTAACAACTCGTTTGGACCATTAGCTGATACTGACAGACAAAGCCTAACTTTTTAGAGGATTGATCGACAAAGCCCTAACTTTTCAAAGGATTGATTGACAAAGCCTTGAACTTTAACATGAAATACGATTAAAAGAAGAAATTGATAAAGAAATAAACGAATTGAGTTTTCCAGACGAAACAAAGATCATATTTAGTAAGAACGGGGGTTGATCAGACTGTAAAAACGAGGCGGGAAAGGTAGCGGTAAGGTCGATCGGTGATGAATGGATGGATTAAGAGAATTTTGGAAGCCAAAATCTAACACTAATGTTGCAACCAGAGACCATAAAAGCAGTACATAATCCAAAACAGCAGATAAATCACAAGCAATATAAACAGATAATAAGCTGAATATAAAAGGCACAAGGATTTATAGTGGTTCGATAATCACACAGATTACCTACATCCACTCTTCAGGGCAATAAGAAGAATTTACTATGAGAATAGAGAACCTTACAGAGATTTACACTCACCCTTTACATAGAGCAAAAACCCAGATGAAAAACCCCTTTGTAAAACCTAGATCTCCTCACCTCTCATACACCACACACAATAACCAAACATTAGTGACATATTTATACACAAGTGAAAGCAAAAAGGAAAATCCAGCTAAGACCTACCACCACCGTTTGATTCCATCAACGCTCTTTAGATTTCTAGCACATCCAGAGATTCGTAACAAGCTTTCTCTCTCTGTAACCAAGAGAGAAAGCTCGAGAAAACAAAATGAACAAAACCTAATTTGCATTAGGTTTATTGAAGAATGGATTTGACAGAATTGCCCCTTTAGTCTTTAACTAGTAACTTTGACCACTCAAGTTATAATTTGACTTCCACGTGGGCATAGGTCAATTGCCACATCACAACAAATCTCTACCTTGGCATTTGATCATTGCCTTTCCTTACTGCCCTGGAACTTCTTCTAATATTTGTCAATGTGCAAAAGGCTCTTAAAGAGCCTTAACTTGTCCAAAATAGCAAACTTAGTGAACATGTCTGCTGGGTTTTCTCTTCCAGGAATCTTCTCCAACTTAATGACTTTGTCTTCAATCAAATTTCTGATAAAGTGCAACCTAACATCAATGTGTTTTGATCTCTCATGAAAAACTTGATTTTTGCATAGAAAAATTGCACTTTGGCTATCACTCTTGATTGGGACCTGCTGCTGGTTCAATCCCATTTCATCAAGC